GTCTTAGCTGGTTGAAGTTCAAAGTAGCTGGTCTCCCAGCCTGGCCAAGCTGATTTTCGGCTAAAACCAACCAACCAGCTTAGCTGTTTTCAGCTTCCGGGTCCAGATGCTCATGCCACAAGACAGCAACAAACAGTGCTAATATACACTCACAATGTGATTCAATATTACTGAAAAAAATTATAATCCTATCTTTTATCACCATTCATCTTTTTATAAATCGTTAAAATATTAGTGTCTGGGACACTGTGAGCATGGAGACTGTAGTGTACATTGTAATGTTTATTTTAAATGAATAAACAGCGCTCATAAATGGCTGTTGAGATAGTATTCTCAAGTGAAATGAGGGGAGGCGTTCCTTACGTCATGACTTAAGCAGATAGGTTCCCTTTAGGTTGTCACAAAAAAAAACTCCTTGCAATATTCTGGCAAGGTTAGTTTTTGGTAATAGATGTAAAACTATAAAATAACCATTAGAGTTTTAAGAGTTCTAGAAACTAAGAGCTCTGAACTGTATTATGCCAATTTTTCAGAACACTTGCAGCTGCTCTGTGGTCCAAGATCTCCTGGGTCATCACCTTGGCATAGGGAAGTTTGGGCAGGGGCATGATATGAACCACCCTGAAGTAGTGGTCCACTACTGTGAGGATCACTGAGTCTGTCTGGAGTTCAGCAGTTTAGTATATTCTCCTGTGGTCAGTCCACAACACGAATGGGACAGTCACTCCCTCCAGCCTCCAGGCTCTAGCTGCACCTCCATCAGCTCACAGCTGCTGATTTCACAGTTCTGCTTTGCAGGGGACAAATGCAGAGAATAATAAGCACACGGATGCAACTTTTTACCATGAGAGGATATTTGGGTAAGAACCACTCCAACTCCTACCTCTGACACATCACCTGCACTACAAACTGAGACTTGGTGGAGATTAATGCTGTCACAGAGGTCACCACCTGTCTGTAATTTTGAATAAAGTGTCGACAGAAACTGGAAAAGCCCAGTAATCGTTGGAGGGCTTTGTGCGAGCCAGAAACTGGTCAGTCAGAAACGGCTTTTACCAAGATGATGGACCCCAAGAACAGAACCAGCTGGGCATGAAAGTTACAGTTCTCTGCCTTCACGAATAGCTGGTTCAAAGACAAACTGATTTATTATGTCTCTAAGCACACAAGCACTGGGGCATTGGACAGGTCGAATGTAAGCACCCCATATTCTAAGTGTCAGGACTCCCCTATAGACCCTTTTAGGGCCGATGTCACAATTACGTCACAGAGCTAGCTGGAGGCAAGACAAAGCAAAAGTGAAAACTGGAGGCGGCCAATTCAAACCAGCACAGATTCGGCTACATAAGGAGCTTAAAATATCATCTTATTGTAATGTTGGGTGCCAGAAGCAACATAGTACATGCTCCAGTTTGGAGATTGTTAGTGGCTGGAATTTCTAAGATCTTGGTAAGAAAGAATAATCAAATAAAGAAAGCAGTTTCTGGAATTTTTATTTCTAGAAAATATTCACATCTTACTTTAAATGTACTGTATGTAAAGGTACTGTAATGTCACTGTAAACTTACATAATTTACAGGAGGTATGTACTTTAAAATAACTATTTGGCCATTACATGATACATTAATCTTCCAATAATATATCCATCATATTGAATGTTTAACTTTTTTTGTTTTTTTGGCCCAGTTCACTCTCATGTAGCTGTAAAAAATAGTTGCCTGCTGAAATTGAAATATGTACACTGTACATCTTCATGACTAGATAGACACGGTGAGTTTGTCTTTACTTTACACATTAAGTTTCTCTATAGATGTGAGTCAACAATCTCTCCATGGCCCAAAAGTCACCTGTCCAGGACAGTAATAGCCTGGGGAGAAGGAAGGGACTCACAGGGAATACTGAGCTTCTTGTCTAGGGAAGAGCCCATGAAATTTCCAGCCACACATCAATCCACACAGACCGGCGATAAATGGTATTGATTGAGGCAATAATCTTGAATCAGTGAAGGGTAGCCACTGGAATTTCTAAGATCTTGGTAAGAAAGAATAATCAAATAAAGAAAGCAGTTTCTGGAATTTTTATTTCTAGAAAATATTCACATCTTACTTTAAATGTACTGTATGTAAAGGTACTGTAATGTCACTGTAAACTTACATAATTTACAGGAGGTATGTACTTTAAAATAACTATTTGGCCATTACATGATACATTAATCTTCCAATAATATATCCATCATATTGAATGTTTAACTTTTTTTGTTTTTTTGGCCCAGTTCACTCTCATGTAGCTGTAAAAAATAGTTGCCTGCTGAAATTGAAATATATACACTGTACATCTTCATGACTAGATAGACACGGTGAGTTTGTCTTTACTTTACACATTAGGTTTCTCTATAGATGTGAGTCAACAATCTCTCCATGGCCCAAAAGTCACCTGTCCAGGACAGTAATAGCCTGGGGAGAAGGAAGGGACTCACAGGGAATACTGAGCTTCTTGTCTAGGGAAGAGCCCATGAAATTTCCAGCCACACATCAATCCACCCAGACCGGCGATAAATGGTATTGATTGAGGCAATAATCTTGAATCAGTGAAGGGTAGCCTTTAGAGCAACTAGGGTAACTGCAGGGGCCAGGGCTTTTCCCAAAAGCTCGGAACAGGTGACACGAAAGTGCCCAGATAAGCCACAGTAAAGGCAGCACCGCTCCCTCACTTGCCTGTCATGTTTAGCAGGGGGAATCCTGGTACTTTTCAGCTAAAAATGTGCTTAGGTGTTCTTGAGAGATTTGAACCACTGAGTATATAGGTGTTGGGAGGACAAACATCTATGAAGACCTTGTGACTGGGTCTTTGGTGGCAAGCTCATCCTCCACATGACCTATGCAAGACCATTCTGGAAACACACAATGTGTGCATCTGTATCATAGCCACTTGCTGCTGCTGCGATGGTGCAGAACTGAATGGCATACACTACATTTGCCTTGCTGGATGGATAAAGGCTCCTTTGAGTGGATGGTTAAACACCCATCTGATTTCCGCAACAAAAGAGGAGTAACTGGAACAGAAGGGGCCTGCAGACGACTGTAGCCCAGGACAGGGCTCTTCCAGAGAGAAGTGTGATAATATAAGCATTTTTGGCTCTGTCAGAGGGAAATGATGGCTGCAACTTGAAAAAAAGTGTGCTCTCCTTAGAAGCGTTAAAGTGGAGGCAATTAGAGTTTAGTCAAAGGACTGGGCTTGGTGACCTTGACTGATGCACCTCGTTTCACAAATTCGATTAGATTCTGTTCCACAAGCTATTGATTTGCTTCAAAATTAATGTATTTTAAAATATTTCATGTATGTTAAGAAAAAATAGGTCAACTAATGCTGTGAGCTGTACAGTCAATTGAAAAATACATACATACATACATGCATGCGTGCATAAATGTCTTCATAATTTATTTAACCTTTAGCAGTGTACCCAGTGAGAGTACATTTCTATAATATTAAAGGATAAATTAACAACAGAGGCCAAACTGTTTAATTCAACTGCTATATATTCAGATATAATAAACACTCCAACAAAATTGGGTAACAATTTTTGTTTTGATGTGTCATGTCATGATTATGAAGGTGTCATGCATGTTTATGACAACTGTCATTAAGTGTCATTCGCTCAGTTATGTCATTTTTAATGCAAATATGATATTATTTGACCTAACCCTAATCTAACCCCTACCCTTACCCCTAACCATATCCCATAACAAAGACATCTCAAACAATGTCATCTTTGCATTAAAAATGACATAACTGAGCGAATGACACTTAATGACAGTTGTTATAAACATGCATAAAAAAACTTCATATTCATGACATGTGTCATGTCAGTCTTATGCACACCCCTTCAAGTAAAGTGTTACCCAAAATTGTTTACAAACATTTGAATTGCACATTAGGCTTTCATGAACCAAAAAATTGAACTATTTGAAAGACTACACAGAGGCTTTGAATATGTCTTTGACACAGAAACACAATGTCAATGAAAAGGGCAAGTCTTAGCTTTCAAATTATATGTTATAATTTTTAAGCAGGTATTAGTAACACAAACTTGTAGGTCTATAGTGCATATAAATATGTTTCTCTGTAGAGTTCATTCTAGCTAACGAAGGAGCTAATGATTGTCCTGAGGTAAATGTCAGGTGAGATGATGTTCGCAGTTGACACACTGATTTCATTCTCTGTGATGGACTAGCCACCTGTCCAGGGTGTGTATTATTGACGTTAGCGACCACAGTATTACTGTAGAATTACTGCAGAAGTTTATGATGTGATTAATTTATAGGTCGACATTGATTGGCTCTGAATTAGGCGCATAGTGGTTATTGACTCTCTCCCTCCAGTGGCAAAGCAGCATATTAAATGGGATTGATTTTAATTTGTCAAGCCTTTGCCATTGGAAGGTAACCAACAGTGTTGGGGAAAGTTACTTTTAAAAGTAATGCATTACAATATTGCGTTACTCCATAAAAAAAGTAACTAATTACGTAACTTAGTTACTTTTTTTGGAAAGTAATGCATTACGTTACTTTTGCGTTACTTTTTAATTCTGGACAGGGCTTGCTTGTTTGTTTTTAAAATAAAAAAAGTTCTATTTTTGGCAAATATAAAAGTCTTTTCACGCCAAAAGTGAAACGAATAAGCCTCAGGCTGAAGGGAAAGTACATTTACTTCCGTACAGTAGAATGCAGAAGAAGACATTTCAACACACTTCAGCAATAAACAAAGACACACAAATGTTTGTCTAGAGTAATTTTTGCTTGCTAGTACGGTTGAACTGGATCATCGAAGGTCAGAAGCATATAGAATGGTGTTTTTCTTTTCTTCCTTTTCTTTCTGGCTGGCCAGTTTTTGCAATCCAACATGGTTTATAAATGAAGTGTGGATGTGCCGTTTCAGGCCATTATGCTAGGAATATAATATCCCAAGCAAGCAGAAGTAACAATCGTATTGTTTATAAAGACATGAAGGTGAGTGGAAGATTACTGAATTTTCATTTTTGGGCGAGCTGTCCGTTTTAAAGCAGGTGGAGCCTCACATGATGTACTACACTAATTTGGATGTATTTTCTTCACATTTCAGCGTTTTCAGAAGCAAAATCCTTCAGAGATGGGTCAGCTAGTATCGTGATGAATCGGCAAATGTGTTTTTGGTAGTGCAATTGTCTCCAGTAGCAAAATTAGACAAATCTAAGCTAACGTTGTTTCCACAACTTTGCAAAAGAAAAACTAGAAAGATTGATTACAGCAGTTTTTTCATCTCTCCTTCAGACCTTGTATTAGAAACGCCCTCTCAGCAGTGTTAACTAGTTAAAGCCACCACAAGTTAATAATTAATAACTGTGTTGATAATTGTGAAAAAGTCCACTGGACACACCCAGCTTAGGTTATGCAGTACTGAACTGATGAGTTCATTCAATGCAGACCGCTAAAATGAGCTGTCCTGTGGAGACCGGGATGGTTTGAATCCCCCTGCTGTGGATTGACAAATCTGGGCAACACATGTTACATGAACGCAACAGTGCAGTGTCTACGCTCTGTGCCTGAGCTCAAAGACGCTCTCAGGAGGTACAGTTTAGTCATGTCTTTCATATCAAGTTCAGAGATTTTATTTTCTGTAATGCATCCATGTCTTTCTGTGATCATTTTCTTCCATCTGTAGGTACTCTGGTGCCTTGCGCTCTTCTGGAGCTAGTGTACCTTCCCAGTACATCACAGCAGGTGAAGAACTTTCATTGTATCATAGTTTTGAGGTTACTAAATTTTCGACTTTTTATCAACGTTTGAGGATCGGTTTGTCCTGAATGAATTCGGAAGAGTTAAGCTGGGTAGTCATATTGAATCTTAAGTTTTTGTGGACAGCATGTAGCACTTGTTTGATCAGGTGAATTCTTCACTTAGCTCTGCGTGATTTGTACGAGTCCATGGATAAGACCGCGTCAAGCATTCCCCCTATCATCCTGCTGCAGTTCCTGCACATGGCCTTTCCACAGTTTGCCGAAAAAGGCGACCAGGGCCAGTACCTCCAGCAGGTCAGGAGATACTTGTTTTGATCACATATTTTCACTGGAATACATTTAATCAGAATATTTTCTGTTAAAATGGAAAGTTATAAAATGTAAATTTTTTTTCTTTTCATTTACCCAGGATGCCAATGAGTGCTGGGTTCAGATTCAACTCTATACCAGCATGTGCTCTCTCAGGTAGTGCTTCTGTGTGCTGTGGCTGTTTTCAGTTTAATAAGCTGCACGGCCCGTTTACTTCAACATTTACCTGTTAAAGTGATCCTAAAGTGATATTTTGCTAAGTGATATAGTGTTTTTTAAATAGTCTTTACAGCTCCTTGATATAACCAATCAAACAGCGTATATGACCGCCTCAAAATAGGCCTTGAAATGTGTTAGTTGCAGCAGTGTGTTCTTATACTTTCTATGCAAGTACAAACGGCTGTACATTTATTTGTGCATTACGTTATAGACATTACACCTTTTAAGTCCTACAGTGCAACTAACGGTTTGTTTTCTTTTCTCTTTTGGATTCACTGCAGTGTTATGCCATACATGTATATTGAGAGTTTTCTACAGAGAGTTTGTATTGAGAGTTTCATACAGTTAAACCCGAGATTTCTCCAGTTCCATGCATATGAACATGTGTAATATTTTAATTTCCTTAACCTGCATGTGTCCAGTATGAAGTGTACTGAGTCAGAGGATGAGGATCCGACTAAAGGCACAGAAAGCCAGCTGCAGCTTAGCTGCTTCATCAATCAGGAAGTCAAATATCTCGCCACTGGACTCAGATTGGTGAGTGGGACGTCCCATACAAACAGTATGCAGCAGTGCTCACAGTCCCTCTTAATCGTTACCTTTTCCTCATTACATCTAGAGGCTACAGGAGGACATTACAAAGTTGTCCCCATCCTTACAAAGAAATGCCCTCTATATCAAATCGGTATGCTTTATCTTGACTTCTGGCATGTTTGGAGAAATGCTCTTTTGCTTAAGTGTTTCCTCTTCTGTGCAACAATGAAATGAACAGTCACTTGTTATGTTACTGCATTTAAGTCCAAAATCAGCCGTCTCCCGGCATACCTCACGGTTCAGATGGTCCGGTTCTTTTTCAAAGAAAAAGAGTCCGTGAATGCCAAAGTCCTTAAGGTAGGTCATTTGCTCTTGGCTGAGTCAGCATATAAAGTGTGTCAACCAGAATATCTGTATATTGATGTTATTTTGTGTGCATTTTAATTTTGTTGCATTTAGGATGTCAAATTTCCTCTTATGCTGGACGTCTATGAGCTGTGCACTGCTGGACTGCAGGAGAAGATGGTTTCTGTGAGGTCAAAGTTCAAGGAGGTTGAAGACAAGAAACTGGAGATGCTGCAGCAGCCGAAAGCAAGTGCCCTGTGATGTCACACTGAACGCTTCACGCAGTTAGAAAAGCCGCCTGTAAAATAACTGACGTTCGTTTTATTTCTCATTTAACAGGAGAATCAGAAGGTTGGAGCTCCAAAGGAAACAAAATATGAACCTTTCTGTTTTTCTGACGGTAAGTGCTCACCGCAAAGCTCTGTTCCATTTCAACACTGTTCTGAAAAAGTTTGCTCTGCTGGTGGATTTATAAGCTGAGAACTTTTTCTTCTCTGTAGATTTGGGCTCCAACAACAGTGGTTACTACGACCTACAAGCGGTTCTGACGCATCAGGGCCGATCCAGTTCATCTGGCCACTACGTCGGCTGGGTTAAAAGGAAAGAAGGTCAAGTATTGTCTATGTCTCTCAAACGTCAAAGCAGTGTTCATGGACCTCATGCATTCAATAAGAGCAGATCAAGTTATTGCATGAACAGTGGCGGCTCGTGGGTTTTAAAATCGAGGCGGCACACTAATTGTATTGGTCTGGGGATCCCTGTCGATTATTATTATTATGTGTATGAATCATTCGTAAAATGCATAGGCTTTTTTTCTTTTGCCTTTAATGGATCTTGATTGCATGCTTGAGTAAGTATTCCAGGATTCTTAATAAGTACAATGTTACTTTACTAGTAACACAGTAACGTTACTTTTAAAAGTAATGCATTGCTAATAATTTGTTACTTTTGCATTTTGCATTCAGCTCGCTGTGGCTCTCTCACACTCTTTTAGGCCGTTTACACCTGGTATGAAGATGCATTTTTTTGTTGATCCGATCACAACTGGACAATGCTAAATACAGGTGTAAACGGGGACTGAAATGTTTTGAGCTTGTCTGCTTTTGAGCACTCCCAGAGGTAGTCAAAAACTCATTTGACCGGATAGTGGTCGAATGAATTTATCTTATCTCCATATAGTGCATAATAAAGTAGTTTATTGGCGCCACCTGCTGTCAGAGAGTGAATTTGCATTCTCATGCAGCCCGTCTGCTGTTTTTGTTTCGTTCCGATGTTTTATGTAGTGTAGTTTCACAAAGCTAGTCAGACCATTCTGTTTTTGCTTCAAACTTCGAAATTACGCAGTCTAATTTAGGTTAAAAACTGCTCAAGCAGCATGCGGCATCTTTGTTTGAATTGTGATTAAAATCCAGCGGTCGCCTCTAATTTTAAAAGGAAAGAGCACAGGCAAAGCCTTTGTTAATATGAAGAGATTTCTTCATTTATTTGATTTGGGATTTGTTTCAACATTTTCAGTTTAGTTTTTTGACATTTCAGTTTTGATTTAAAAAAAAAAACATGAGAATCCTATCATGAAATCAGTAGTGGGAAACGTATCGCATTGTGAGTTGAGTGAAAAGATAAAAAATCTAGAACTCAAGCTGCTTTTTTTTGGACAGCGTCGCCGTTTATTGCTTCTGATGCAGTTTGTGAGTCCAATCCTGTTGCTGGAGGGCCAAGTCCTGCACAGTTTACCTCCAAACTGCCCGACACACTTTCCTGGAAGTTTCCTTGATTAGCTGGTGCAGGTGTTTTTAGGATTGGACACACATGCTGTAGGGTGTTTTCCTATTCTAGCTGATGTTGACCCCCCACCTCTCTCTGAACAGATGAATGGGTGAAGTTTGACGATGATAAGGTCAGCGTTGTGACCCCTGAGGACATCTTGAAGCTGTCTGGTGGTGGTGATTGGCATATAGCATACGTCCTTCTGTATGGCCCTCGACATCTGGAGATACTGGAGTAACAATGGTTCACAGAGGAAACTTAAACCATAATTGCCATTTCAGAGCACTGTCTGTATAGATGTGCAAATATTTTGGTGTCTTTAAAAACATGACCTTAATATTTCCTGAACTCTTTATGCATCAACACACAAGTGGCATGTTCAAGGGTGTTTTTTTTTTTCCCCCCTTTTTTGGATGATAGATTGCTGGACGCGATCCTTGTTTGGATTTGGAGCAATGGTTTTATAAATGTTTTCTATATGCATTGAATTTTTTTTTTTAAGCCTGTGAAAAGGTGTTCATACTCAATAGACGGTATCCTCTCGCAGGAGAAGTAGTGACTTGGTATATAAAGATGTTCTTGGCCTCAAGTTTCAGACTTAAATACATCAAGAAGAGGTTGTGTGATACTGGGAGTAACAATGGTTCACAGAGGAAACTTAAACCATAATTGCCATTTCAGAGCACTGTCTGTATAGATGTGCAAATAAATTTTGGTGTCTTTAAAAACATGACCTTAATATTTCCTGAACTCTTTATGCATCAACACACAAGTGGCATGTTCAAGGGTGTTTTTTTTTTTTTTCCTTTTTTGGATGATAGATTGCTGGACGCGATCCTTGTTTGGATTTGGAGCAATGGTTTTATAAATGTTTTCTATATGCATTGAATATTTTTTTTTAAGCCTGTGAAAAGGTGTTCATACTCAATAGACGGTATCCTCTCGCAGGAGAAGTAGTGACTTGGTATATAAAGATGTTCTTGGCCTCAAGTTTCAGACTTAAATACATCAAGAAGAGGTTGTGTGATACTGGGATCTCACCAAAAGAAATGCAATTTGTTTACAAGGATGTGTTGTGTATTGAAATGATCAAAGGTGGATTTCATATCGAAGCACTTTGAGAGGATGTCTTTATGCTCAATTACTGCTTCTGTTTTTAGCTACCATGCAACAAATGCCACTGTAAACTCATCTGTCCTTAAATACTCAAATACAATCAGAGTAAGAGAACTTGAGCTCTGTAATAAGTTGACTACTGGCTTTTCATAACCGGTGAAATAAACATGCCATTGACACTCTTGTGTGTATTTTACAAACAAAACCATTGACCGATTTCAAACGAACATTTATTTAAAAAATGTAGCTAAAGAATGCATTTCATTGAAGTACAGTCAAAGTTTAAAACAAAACAAGAACATGTGGCTGTTATGTTTCACTGAGACCTTCTGTGATGTTATTGAAACCAGCTGAGTTCAGAGCCGTGACCAGGCTCTCCATCGTAGCTTGAGGGCCTTCTCGGTCCTGCCAGGCCACCAGCAGCATCTTGGCCTGTAGTTCTACATCCTCGCTGTCAGACTCGATCACGCGGATCTCCTTCTCGCTCATCTCCAGGTGGTCTGCCAGCGTCTTCCACTGCGACCCAAGCTTGGCTGCGATCTCGTCCATCTGACTGTTGGTCACGGCCTTGCTCTGAATGCTGGGACCTGGAAAAGGACAGTTCACTTTTAGTCAACAAATAAGCTTTGACACTCTCTTATGCTAGCTCAGATCCAAATCCAGTGCTGCAAACACTGACAATGTTGTAAGGCATCACAGACCCCGTTCACACCAGGTAACCCGATAACAGTTTACACAGCCGGACATAACATGCATCGCAAATGCATCTCCTGTGACCACTTGTAATTGGTTTCATCAACCCCTGCTGAAAGAAGTCCTCGGACCGAATGGTGATGAGGCAAAACACAAACATCCACACAGAGATGGGCACTCGAGTTAGTGACTCGGGACTCGAGTCGCATTTTTATAGACTTCAGGCTTGACTTAGACTCGACCTGAAATGACTTCAGACTTGACTCGGACTCCAAGTTAAGACTTGTGAACATCCCTGCATCCACATTGTTCTTAATATGAAGAGATTATTTGCAAAAACAGATTTTCAAAAATCTTGTTTTCTTTTATGTTATGTTTTTATTGTGTTGGTTAGCTAGTATTATTTAGTTATTTTTACCTAATCAAAATAAACCAACTGCAGTTTGATTGAGATTAACTGGATTGCACAATGAAAAAACTTTGTTGAAAATTGTTAAAAACGGAGTTATGCGTTTTTGCAAATGAACTCTTCATGTTTTTAGGGGTCGAGGCACAAAGGGGCAAAGACCTTGTAATATTACCATAGAGCCATGTGTTAAAAACACACAGAACATAGCAAAATCTGAGAATCCCAAACCCTCTATCACAACCAACTGCTCAGAGTTTTACTTGTGCTTATGCTATAACCATAAGGCCTAGTAGTACAATTTCTGGCTTGAATGCCTAACATAGTTCTGAGAATTTCTGCCAATTCAAATTTCCATTAAAATACAACAACTACTACCTTTTCAAACTCATTTTGGCCAGTTTTGAAGATGAGATGAATAATCTCAGATCACTGTAAGGCCATCATTAATGGTACACCAAATCATTCTCCTATAGCGCGTTGATGAATTTCATGACATACATTGGCATGTTGAGAAGATGTTTATTTGGCCAAAAATCACTAGACTGGTTTCTATAGATTCATTTGCAGCATAACAAATCAAACCATTCAGTTTCGAGTGTCAATTTTTAAAAATTGTCCATTTTTAATTGTCATAACATGCAATGTTTTATAAATGCACTGTCAAATCATCTTTAAATATCGTCGAAGACATCCTTTGGTGCTCAACACAGACGTTTATGGTTGCAAGCCCTTGACATGAAACCTAAAACATGTCATCATGCTTATTTGGCTGCCGATGCTGAGCTTGACCCTGTAATTGCTGCTTGCAGCTCTATTGCATAAAGTTTAAACCAGACTAACCAGTGTTCCCCAAACCTGTTCCTGAAGTACGGCCAAATTGTATCCGCGTTTTGGATCTTAAAAGTAGTACCTACTTAGAGTATGCAATTACTTTGAATTTGATCTGGACGTGACTTATGAACATCAGATGCAGCCCATATTTTCCTTTTTCAGGTCTTCTAAATACATGAGCTGAATCAAGCATCTTTGTTTAGGGAGACATACAAAATGTGCAGTGCTTCCTGTACATTTTCTCTGCTTGCCTCAAGCAAAAATGAACTCCTGTTGTCCTTGAGCTTTTATAGATAAATGAAGGTGACGTTCTGTGATGACACTTTGGAAACAAAACCAAAAGTACAAAGTGAGGCGAGCAACACAACTCCTATGGAGTCATTTCTTAGCAACTACTGCCACTTTGATGCAACCGTACTGCCGTTTTGATCCGAGAAATACAGTGTGGACAGAATCCAGCAGGCAGGGCAACAGTCATAAAAATGGCTTTAGATTTTTCATTAAAAAAAACCCAAAAAACTTACTGTCATTGCTCTCTTTTAACAGGTTATCTCCATTCTCATCATCATCCTCCTCGCCTGTTTTTATCTCCTCAGAAGGAAGGTCTTTCTGTTTAAAGAAAAACAAAGATTCAGTTTTTAGACTTTAAACTTGGGTAAAATATTGAATTTTATGGACCAAGAATGTCATTTTCAATTGATTCCAATCAGTTCTTCCTCACACAGGTGGCCAATCAAAGTAACCACAGATATATTGTAGTTCATCACATGCAAACTATGGACAACCGCAAAGTGTAAATGTACTTTGTCTGCTAAACTGAAATTGTACTATAAGAATCTTCATCAAAGTATGTTTTGCTCTATTGGTGGGTTGGTTATAACCAGAGATGCACATAAGATTTTTAGTCTGTTTCTCATGAGCACCTGGAGATTTGGTTTGGTGCTCACACTGCACATAGTGTGACCCATTATATAACTAGAAAAAAATTATTATTTGTATATGTGAGCCTGGAGCACAAAAGCAGTCTTAAGTCGCTGGGGTATATTTGTAGCAATAGCCAACAATACATTGTATGGGTCAAAATTATACATTTCTCTTTTATGCCAAAAATCATTAGGATATTAAGTAAAGATCATGTTCCATGAAGATATTTTGTAAATTTCCTACCGTAAATATATCAAAACTTAATTTTTGATTAGTAATATGCATTGCTTATTTATTCAGCTTTCAGATGATGTATAAATCTCATTTTCGAAAAATGGACCCTTATGACTGATTTTGTGGTCCAGGGTCACATATAAATAATAGTAATAATATTATTGCACTTTATTTAGCTTTTTTCAAATAAATAAACGAAAATGAATAAAGTGCGATACTACTATTATATTTTAAAACAAATTTGAGTATTAAATAAAAATACAATTATTTTATAATACACTTAAGCCCAAAGTATACTTCGGTTTTTAGGTGTACGTGAGGGTCAGCGTACAGTGCGTGCAGGGCTGGATTTACACACAGGCATTCTAGGCACATGCCTATGCTCACTCGTCCAGGGGGCCCCAAGGTACAATGAAGAGATATATAATATTTTTGTTATATTATGGGCTTTGTCCAACAGTAAAAGAACCAAAACCACAAAAGACATTGAGCAAATAAATATAACAAACAATAGGATACAAAATGACAAACTATTTCCATGTTTTCCACCTTTTTTTTAATGTACGGAAATCACACTTCACTTCTCGTGCACACACGTGGAGACGCGCACAGAAACTTACTGTCAGCGCTGCCCCACGAATGTATAAATAAAATAGTTTCGCAGCTGAAAAGCTACATGACATTTTTCAGTAGCGAGGTTCTTGAAGCAGTTCAACTGAAAGATTCACTATTAGTAGAGACGATGCCGCTGAACACTGCCGAGAGATGCGCAGACGCAGGTATTGACATGCGCTTAATCTCTCGCTCTCTAATAACTCAAATAGCCTGCATATCAATGGCTCAAACCTCCGTTATTAGCTCTAAAATTAAGTTTTGGAATTAGCATCGGAAGGTTTGGCGTGAGGTGCGTAAATGATTGCAACACACACAAATTTTCAGGATGGAAACATGACAAATGTCTTGAAATAAAATATCTAAACAATGCCTTGAGGTGTGGTTGTGACTCCAGGCCATTACAATTATTAGAAAAATAATGCACTCCCAAAGTGGTAATGTGGCCACGATGCAAGAGCCTATTAATGAAACTCTTTTTCTCCATTCTTAAATGAATTAAGAACTACATTTGATCTTCATTGACTAAACGCAATGGGAACGACTTTGTGCTTATTGCGATAGAGAACTCTGTAACTGTTTCCACTGATTACGATTTTTAATTTTTTTTGCTAACATTATATATTAACAGGGAAGCAGTGCCTAAAAATGTATTTTGCCTATGTCACGATAAGAGGAATATCCGGGCCGAGTGTGCGTGATGCAAATTTCGTCACCAGAATAGTATGTGCATACTGTATGCACTCCATCCGATTTTTGTAATCGTGCGTACTTTGCACGCTAGGGCTGGGACAATAAATCGATGCATCGTGATTCGTGGATCGATTCTGAGATTTTCGGGAATGCATCGTGATTCTCTCTCGAATCGATTCTGAGCTTTAGTTTTTAACAGCAGATGGCGCTCTAGGCTAGCTTTTAACCACACACTCAAATGCTCACGAAGAAGAGCGCTTGTGCGTTCGGCTGAGTATTTTAAGTGGTTAAATGTACTTGACCCTCTGCTTTTATGATGCGAGATTAATGTAAACGGCCCACTGTGAACATCCTTGTAATTCGCTTCGACCTTTTCTAACTTTATGAATGATTATTTTAGGTTCAAATGGTGCATGCGTAAGTAACTGGAAGCAAGCAGAATACGGCTATTTCTACAACACGCAGTGCCATCTGCTGTTAAAAATTAAGCTCCGAATCGATTCAAGAGAGAAACGCGATGCCTTCGGAAAATCTCAGAATAATTTCTCGATTCGCGATGCATCGATTTATTGTCCCAGCCCTATTGCACGCACAGGTCGCACATGCGCATTGACTTGGTTTTGCACTAATCAGTTGTTCCACAAGATGGCAGCGCTGGCCAGGGCTGCTGTTTCACAGTAGAAAACAAAACTAAAGAGACAGAAAAACAACAGACACACATTGAAAAGAGCTTGTGTGAGGGGGTTATGAAAGAGCCACAACTTCAGTTTGAAAGAGTACAAAGTCATTTAATTGGTCATAATTTCTGGAGAAAAATACAGCTGACATTAGGACTAAGATAAAGCTTTCTAGAGCGCATGTGAGTGCAAGCTTTTATTTTGGCAGGTTGTTAGCAAGTAAGTGGTTTAAGTGCTGCCAAAATGAAGTGCGTCAGTAAATGAAGTGCCACAGTTTTGCATTTTGCTATGAAACAAACCGGCAGCACGTAGCCTAGATTTGTGCTTTCAGTTCAAATGGAAATCTTAATACAGTATTACAATTAGTTGAGCTACAAGGATGATTGTGCATTAACAGCAGTCAACCATTTCGGTACGCAAATGAGCGGTCTGAACTTATTTACATACCACAGTTTTTTTATTTTGTTTGTGCATGCACACCTGCACACCACTTCATGCATCCCATCAGATAACTGAATGATCAAATACCTACCTTAAGGAAAGTCATCCATGAGAACTTGTCGTAGCACTGTACAGGGTTTCTGAAATAGTCCTGCAGGGTCCAGAATTTTCTGTACAAGTTGTAGTCAATAGGAATGGAGCTACAAAACAAAAGCCCTCGAAATTACATGCTGTTTAATAACGCAAAATAAAGCAAAAGCAAGGCAATGTCTCGTATCTTTTACCAGGGAGCAGGTGCATCTTCATCGCCCATCTCTCCCTCCTCCTCCTCCATCCCTTCCTCCTTAACCTCTGTGTGCTTGGGGGAAAAAATGAAAACATGTCTGACATCTAATGTAGAATCCACTGTAGGTGTCTAACTGTCCGTTTTATTCACATTTTCTGCTTGCATGAACTTTCAAAAATACATGGCTAAGTAAATCAAACCCAACATCTGTCAGCATGACTTTACCTGCAGTCCAAGTGTGCTATCCTGCTCATTTTTGTTGAACACCGTGATGTTATCAAGGTTGAATTGACTCTGTAAGTTCAGGCCTGTAATACAAGGGAAAAACATCAAGTCATAAAATAACCACTGAACGAAGAACCAAGAAAAAACAAGAAATGTAAAAAAAAAAAAAGTATACCTGATTTTTCTGACAAAGGAAAGAGACGTGCTAAAAACAGCTGGATTCGTCCACAAAACACTGTATTCTGAGACTTCGAGAGTCTCCTGAGCAGGTCTGTAGGCAAACACAGTGGCTACTCCAGCACCTTCTCAATAAAGAATTATGCTACAGATATACTTGAATATTAGGACTAGGTATTCACAATTTGATTTGGGCCTAAGCATTTATATTTCAACAAACTATGGTAGAAAACAATTATATCATTAAAAAGTGATATAGTTATGATATAATAAATTTTTATTCCAAAAACTGATTTATGTGCAATTTAAATGTCTCTTTAATGCACAGCACACATCTGTATAGAACTTGAAACTCACCGTTGCACATTCTTAACAAGTAATTTTTTCCAGCAGAGTAAAAGGTATTCTGTAAACATGAAAGAAAGAGCAAGCATAAATAATATTGCTGCAAGCAGCAATTAAGGGTAACACTGAAGACTGAACAAACCATTCTATTAACATAATGAAATAGGGCTGCATGATAAATCGAAATGGAATCGAGATCGCAAAGCTGCGATTGTCATGCGTATCTTTCAGTGAAGCACGGTTCTGTGATCAGCAGTAAATCTCCGTCCGAAGGCTAGAGAAACTCCAAATACGCCCCGCAGAAGAAACCCAGAAAATGCCTATCGCTGCAGCTGAATAAACAGAAGATTCAACTGCTTTCATTGATTCAGCGTGACTAATAAACACACGACTACGCCAATATACGGTTTATCTTGAGTTCTTATTATTATCATTTATTAAAATAAAGTATATTTATAATGCAATGCCTTTATCACTGCTTAAATACTATGAAATATGTTGCGTGCCTTATTCTGTGTAAGAAGCCACATCATCTCACAGAAGGGTTTATTTCAAACACTCGACTGACGTTATGAAGTGAGTTTGGAGTAAAAGCATGTTATTAAATGTGGTATTTTAACATGCTTTCAGATCAGCATTTACTTCACAGAGCCATAGTTCACTGAGAAGCTACGCAAACAGCTGTCATTATCACCAACGATTTCAGCATCGCGCAATAAAATCGTCTACAATTTTTTTTTGGCGTAACTTGTCAGTGAACTACGGCTCTGTGTAGTAAATGCTGCTCCGTCTGAAAGCACGTGATGATGATTTCCTGCTGATCACAGAACCGGCTTTACTAACAAAATGCGCATGACGATCGCATTCGATTAATCGTGCAGCCCGATAATGAAATGCATAAAATGGAGTAAATTCAGAGTCATAGAAATTTACAAAAAAAGCGGCGACACCAAATTTGGTAAAGATCGCCAGAACTGTCTAGGATGAGTTCGAAAACGTAGGTTTTTACGAAAACTTCAGGTGGACATAGAAACAGACACAAAGAAGCTTGCTTTTTAAGTTTTAGCATAAACTCATGTGAAAACTTTAGCTGTTGAAGGCACTAGAGGGTGTGAGATAGATATTCCAAATATACAAACGCCAAAACTGCCCTCTATCCGTGTGCAAAATTACATAACTTTCATGCAAAAGTTTCTATGGGCTGCCATAGACATCATTGTTGGAAGAAGAATAGCATCACAATAGGTGCCTATGCTTCTTTGGTGCTTGTTCTGTACATATTGCTCTAATTGATTTCTACACCCAAAAAAGCACTATCAACCCGGTGCCCTTAACTCCTGAAGAGCAGAATTTAGGAAAGGAATCAATCAAATCTGTGTGAAAATATTCAGATGCAAGCCTCTTTGTAATTGTTAACATTTTCATAAGTACATTTTTTCTACAGATTACAGTTACATTTATTTTGTAATTAAATTACGTAATTCTGTTACATGTAACTAGTTACTCTCCAACACGGGTGATCAGTGCGGCAAAACATTTCTTAGGGCTCAGTCCTGAAGACACACCTGACAAAGAAGGAGAAGCTGCATTCATGTTCTGTATGTGGAAAGAGTTTCTCACTGCTGCCATATTCATATAAAAATATTCATATTGGTATACGAGCTCAGATATGCTTTGAGTGTGGACAGAGGTTTACTACAGTGAACTGTTTAAAGCAGTACCAGAGTCCGGACATCTGAAAACACATGAGGATCCACAGCAGTGTGTAAGGACCTATTGGCCCAACGACGGAATCCAACAGCGTAGGTGAAGGTATAATGCGTGTAGGTCTTTTACTTGAGCTTCTGCAAACTTCACTTCATTTATTAGGATTTAGTTTCAATTTTAGTCTAGCTCCGTAATAAATTGCTTCTTATTATCAAACACATCCTGCAGTTTAACAGTAGACTTTTTATGGCCTTAAGTTTGAGATGATGTATAAATCATCTGATCAAATCACTGATGTGACATTAACTTTTAGGACTTTTAGGAAGGAATGAAGGCACTACGAAGGAAAGGAAGGCTTGCTAGATGAAATGTGGCACAATTATCAATAAAACAATATTTTTTTCATAGTCCTTAGAAGCCAAACTCAAAATCGAAAATAAAATTTGATTAATTGTACAGCCCTAAAGTACATGAGAGTTCTCGCTTCTGGATTGCAAATAACAAAAACAGATCATGGACGATAATATCGCATATAGAAATGATTGGCAAAACACAATTAGCTTGATAACATTTATGCAGCAGTAATAAATTAAGTGTATTTTCATAATTTCTCCAAACTGATAACATCAGAGCTTATTGATACGAAGGTCTTTTGTAATTTAGCCCCAGGGCCTGTTTAATACTGGGTTCTGGTACCCATCAAACAGGTCAAAACATGACAGAAAATATTACAATTACTTCTAAATTTTAGAGGTTTCAAATTTTTTGTCATTTTTTATGTAAAAATCTTGATAACACAAGGGGACCTCAGAGAACAGTACAAAATAATAAAAAAGGCAGTTCATGACCCCTTTAATGAAAGAGTAAGCAAACTACAAGTGATACATGTGCATTATAAGACAACTGAACTTAATATGAAACTTATAAGAAAGCACAATTGTATCACTTATGTCAGCGGTTCCCAACCCTGGTCCTGGAGGCACCGCAACACTGCATGTTTTGCATGCATCCTTAATCAAACACACCTGATTCAGGTCATCGGCTCATTAGTAGAGGATTTATATTTCTGTCAGGACCACTATCGTCAAAGATGATTGACAATTAGCATGCAGTTTGGATTGGCGGTATGGTTCTGTTCTGGGTAAGAACTCCCTGCGCATCCATGCAGCCTAGCCTGGATAAGAGCGGCGAGAGCAGCGATACCCCCCCCCAGGGTAAACAGAACCAACATAAATGTATTGCAGATATCGTTAAAGTTCAATAATGTTATGTACACATTTTAAAATGAGTCTGATTCAAAGGAGAATCAGAAGGCTGAATCCCGACTGACAGAGGAGGAGCTGGGGATGGAGGAGGGTAATTAGCTATTGAGCAATGCGAAAACTGCTGATAATCCTGAGGGACCTTATATATGAATGCTTAGATAGGTGTCGTATTCCCATAGGTAGATGGAGATCAGCTGAGAGTCAGCTGATGCGAGCTTGACTAACGTGACCTGCCAGAACTAACGCTACGCTTGATATTCATGTAAGAGTTCATTCTGGAGAGAAGCTGTTCACATGTGATCAGCAGTGTTGGGAAGCTTACAGATTACAACTTACCCTATTCAAAATGTAATAAGCAGTGCAACTAATTCAAATCTTTTTTTCTTTTAAGTAACTAATTATTACATTTAATTACTTTTTGATCACTTTTCCAAATTTCTAACAAATGTTTTCAACTGTTAATAATTTGACAACATTTAAAGCATTTATTGCACAGCCACCACAAAATCAGACTTTAGCACCTCTTTTTACTGTAAGATCATTCTGAGGTTAAATACAGATTTAAAATCGTAAGATATAGTTTAATAGCTATGATCCTGTTTTTAAAATCAAATCTTTGCATAGCTACAACAGGAAACACTGGCATCTAACAATGCAAAAACAGTTCATCTTAAAAAATAAAGCATAGGAAATAAATAAAGCATGTGTCCTATTCGGTGCCCTTAACTCCTGAAGAGCAGAATTTAGGAAAGGAATCAATCAAATCTGTGTGAAAATATTCAGATGCAAGCCTCTTTGTAATTGTTAACATTTTCATAAGTACATTTTTTCTACAGATTACAGTTACATTTATTTTGTAATTAAATTACGTAATTCTGTTACATGTAACTAGTTACTCTCCAACACGGGTGATCAGTGCGGCAAAACATTTCTTAGGGCTCAGTCCTGAAGACACACCTGACAAAGAAGGAGAAGCTGCATTCATGTTCTGTATGTGGAAAGAGTTTCTCACTGCTGCCATATTCATATAAAAATATTCATATTGGTATACGAGCTCAGATATGCTTTGAGTGTGGACAGAGGTTTACTACAGTGAACTGTTTAAAGCAGTACCAGAGTCCGGACATCTGAAAACACATGAGGATCCACAGCAGTGTGTAAGGACCTATTGGCCCAACGACGGAATCCAACAGCGTAGGTGAAGGTATAATGCGTGTAGGTCTTTTACTTGAGCTTCTGCAAACTTCACTTCATTTATTAGGATTTAGTTTCAATTTTAGTCTAGCTCCGTAATAAATTGCTTCTTATTATCAAACACATCCTGCAGTTTAACAGTAGACTTTTTATGGCCTTAAGTTTGAGATGATGTATAAATCATCTGATCAAATCACTGATGTGACATTAACTTTTAGGACTTTTAGGAAGGAATGAAGGCACAAAGGAAGGAAGGAAGGCTTGCTAGATGAAATGTGGCACAATTATCAATAAAACAATATTTTTTTCATAGTCCTTAGAACAAAATCGAAAAATCGAAAATAAAATTTGATTAATTGTACAGCCCTAAAGTACATGAGAGTTCTCGCTTCTGGATTGCAAATAACAAAAACAGATCATGGACGATAATATCGCATATAGAAATGATTGGCAAGACACAATTAGCTTGATAACATTTATGCAGCAGTAATAAATTAAGTGTATTTTCATAATTTCTCCAAACTGATAACATCAGAGCTTATTGATACGAAGGTCTTTTGTAATTTAGCCCCAGGGCCTGTTTAATACTGGGTTCTGGTACCCATCAAACAGGTCAAAACATGACAGAAAATATTACAATTACTTCTAAATTTTAGAGGTTTCAAATTTTTTGTCATTTTTTATGTAAAAATCTTGATAACACAAGGGGACCTCAGAGAACAGTACAAAATAATAAAAAAGGCAGTTCATGACCCCTTTAATGAAAGAGTAAGCAAACTACAAGTGATACATGTGCATTATAAGACAACTGAACTTAATATGAAACTTATAAGAAAGCACAATTGTATCACTTATGTCAGCGGTTCCCAACCCTGGTCCTGGAGGCACCGCAACACTGCATGTTTTGCATGCATCCTTAATCAAACACACCTGATTCAGGTCATCGGCTCATTAGTAGAGGCTCCAGGATCTGAAATTGGTGTCAGTGAAAGGAGATATGCAAAATGTGCAGTGTTGGTGTGCCTCCAGGACCAGTGTTGGGAACCACTGACTTGTGTCATGAAGCAAAATGATACACAAGAGTAACACTTTTTTGCCATTGTTCTTTGGGGAGGAACTCCATCTTTGAGTTGATCTGAATCTCACAGTTGAAACTGATGGTTTTAAAGATGATGATGAACTTTATTCACTGTGAAAAGTTTAGATAATGTTTCTTTGTCATGTCACTTGTAATGACTGGTTAGCACAGATTTATCCAGATGACATTTTATTGCTTGATGCATTATTGTGTCATATTTGTTGAGGACGCGGCATCAGACCTGAAAGTCCTGATCTGAAGATGATCTACTTACAGTGAACGTTTTTTGTATGACTGTGTAGAGCAGATGATTGTTTGAAACACTTCCCACATGCAGTGCATTGATACGGTTTCTCTCCAGTGTGGATCCTCTCATGTCTTTTTAGGTCTCTTGAATCACTGAATCTTTTGTCACAGTGTGAACACTTGAAAGGTTTTTCTCCAGTGTGAATCCTCTCGTGTATTATCTGATTTGCTGACTGACTGAATCTCTTGTCACAGTATGAACACTTATAAGGTTTCTCTCCAGTATGGATCATCTCGTGTCTTTTTAGGTTTTCTGACAGATTGAATCTCTTGTCACAGTGTGAACACTTGTAAGGTTTCTCTCCAGTGTGGCTCCTCTCATGTCTTTTCAGGATTCCCGACCAACTAAATGTCTTGTCACAGTGTGAACACTTGTAAGGTTTCTCTCCAGTGTGGCTCCTCTCATGTCTTTGCAGGATTCTTGGCCAACTGAATCTCTTGTCACAGTGTGAACACTTGTAAGGTTTTTCTCCAGTGTGGATCCTCTGATGCAGTTTTAAATTGTTCGCTGAAATAAAAGTCTTTTCACACTCAAAGCACATGTACTCTCTCACACCAGTATGTATTTTCTGATGTACTTTCAAATTTTGTAGACATGAAAAACTTTTTCCACATAAATAACATGGATGTGGCTTCTCCTTGGTATGAACTTTCAGGTGCATCTTCAGGTCTGAAGCCCGCAAACACATTTTGCCGCATTGATCACACATGCACAGGTTCTCTCTAGTGTGGATGTTCATATGTACCTTAAGATGTGCCGAGTGTGCAAATCTCTTCCCACACTGATCACAAGAGAACGGTTTCTCTCCCGTATGAACTTTCATATGTGCCGTAAGTTGTCCTTTTTGCACAAAACACTTCCCACACTGATCACATGTGTGCGGTTTCTCTCCCGTGTGAGTCCTCTCATGTGCCTTCAGGATTCCTGACCGACTGAATCTTTTGTCGCAGATTGAACATTTGTAAGGTTTTTCTCCAGTGTGAATCCTCTCATGTGCTTTCAGGTGTCCTGACCAATTGAATCCCTTGTCGCAATGTGAACACTTGTACCGTTTCTCTCCAGTATGTACTCGCATGTGAACATTAAGACTATGTTTGCATGTGAAACTCTTTCCACAGTGAGTGCAGGTGAAAGATTTCTCAGCACTTATTTTCTTTAAAACCTCCTGAGAGAAACTCTGAGGTTTTTCTCCAGTTTTGACATGATTTTGCTCCTCAACTTCACTCAGTTCTTCAATCTCCTGATGTTCTCCAATCAACTCTGAAATAAAAGTAAAAACGGTTCAATTTCAGTAACTCGTAAAAAACTGAAATGTGAAAGGACATAAAAACGAGCTCTGATATAACAGCGGAAAGAAGACAATTGCTACACAAAACGTTGATCATTTTGATGCATTTTTATAACGTATACGTCCCTGAAACTTTCCGTGAATGAGGTACAGTGATCTTCAAATTATTATTTTTTAAAACATTACAGGCACCAATCCCATGTTTCTATAGGGAGAACTTTTAAATACGTTTGACCAGCTTAACAATTATTGCCTTACTATTTGATGCTCTAGCTACAGTATATTATTGCACAACTCTAAAGTGCTCTTTTTCGGTTACACTTTATTTTAAGGAGTCCTTACTTACTATTATAATAACAACAATAGATTATGCATAATTACATACAAATAACCCTAAACCAAATCCTAACCATACAGTAAGTACAATGCATCCGGAAAAGTCCTTACTTACTATTATAATAACAACAATAGATTATGCATAATTACATACAAATAACCCTAAACCAAATCCTAACCGTACAGTAAGTACAATGCATCCGGAAAATATTCACAGCGCTTCACTTTTTCCACATTTTGTTATGTTACAGCCTTATTCCAAAATGGATTAAATTCATTATTTTCCTCAAAATTCTACAAACAATACTCCATTATGACAACATGAAAGAAGTTTGTTTGAAATCTTTGCAAATTTATTAAAAATAAAAAACGGAAATAAAAATCACATGTACATAAAGTATTCACAGCCTGTGTTCAATACTTTGTTGAAGCACCTTTGGCACCAATTACAGCCTCAAATATTTTTGGGTATGATGTGACAAGCTTTGATCATCATGATTTGGCAATTACCTGCCATTCTTCTCCTCGCATCTTCACCTCTCAAGCTCTGTCAGGTTGGACGGGGGCAGATGCACATTTTCAGGTTTCTCCAGAAATATTTGATTGGGTTCAATCCCAGGCTCTGGCTGGGCCACTCAAGGACAGTCACAGAGTTGTCTGTAAGCCACTCTTGCGGTGTGTTTAGGTTCATTGTCCTGTTGGAAGGTGAACCTTCTGCTCAGTCTGAGGTTCTGAATGCTCTGGACTGGGTTTTCATTAAGGTCATCTCAATATCTTGGTGCACTGAGCTTTTCTTCTACTCTGACGAGTCCCTCGGTCCCTGCCGCTGAAAAACAGCCCACAGTATGAGGCTGCTACCAGCACACTTTACTTTTGGGAAGGTACTCTGCAGGTGATGAGCAGAGCTGGTTTCCTTCAAACATGATGCTTGGAATTGAGGTTTATCAGACCAGAGAATCTTGTTTCTCAGAGGGTCCTTTAGGTGTTTTTTTGCAAATTCCAAGTGTGTTTTATGCGTCTTCACTGAGGAAAGGATTGAGTTTGGCCGCTCTGCCATAAAGCCCAGATCGGTGGAGTGTTGCAGTGATGTTTGTCCTTCAGTAGATTTCTCCAATCTCCACGTACAGTATGATCATGGAGCTCAACTAGAGTGACCATCAGCTTCTTGGTAACCACACTAACCAAAACCCTTCTCCATCAATTGGTCAGCTCTAAGAAGAGTCCTGGTTGTTTCAAACTTCTTCCATTAAGGGTAACAGAGACTCCATGCTACTGTGAACCTTCAATGCTGCAGAAATGTTTCTGTACCCTTCCCCAGATCTGTGCCTCGATACAATCCTGTCTCGGCAGTCTACAGACAATTCCTTGGACTTCATGGCTTGGTTTGTGCTCTGACATGCACTGTTAACTGTGGGACCTTATATAGGGAGGTGTGTGCCTTTCCAAATCATGTCCAATCAACTGAATTTGCCACAGGTGGACTCCAATCAAGTTGTAGAAACATCTCATGGATGATCAGTGGAAACAGCATGCACCTCAGCTCAGTTTTGAGTGTCATTGAGAATTTTGAGGAAAATAATGAATTTAATCCATTTTGGAATAAGGTTGTAACAAAATGTGGAAAAAGTGAAGCGCTGTGAATACTTTCCGGATGCACTGTACATGTAGTTAATTAATATTACTCAGTGCTTAAATGTATAATTACACTGTAACGAGGACACCTTAAAATAACATGTAACCGCTATTTCCTATTACAACAAATAAAAATCTGCTTGAAGCTTCATAAACTTCAGCATTATTAATGAAGAAACAAGAATAAACACCAACCTGTTTGTTCTTCGGTATCTTCAGTGCGTTTCATTCTGCAGGGTTCTGGATCTCTCATGTTCTCTGTCCTCTTTAATAAACTCAGTCTTTGTAGATTTCAGTTCTTTATGATGCTTTTATGCTAGTCTTCACTTGTAGGCTGATATGAATATTCCAGTATTTATTGGTGAAATCACTGACTGTGTGATTGTTGTTCAGGAGCTTCACTGAACGTGAATTTCTGTGTGGAAGAAGCAGATTTGCCAAAATCAACAATAATTACCATATTTTTAAATTATTTATTTGGACTATTTTACACATTTAAGTATGTAAGTGAAGCAGATGTCCTCTAAATTATATATCTCAAGAGACCATAGCCTAAAGGCTTGTGCACACCGGGACGATTATCGCATGTGACTATCGTCGACGTTTAACGCCTCGTGACTAAACAAAGGGCGCCAATGTGAGCGCGCAAAATGCCAGGCGTAAAAGCGCCATTTTTAAAAAACGCCTCTGGCTCGTTTTTTTGGTTTAACGCGCCGTTAAAAAGATTGGTGCTTTTGTTCACGTGCCTGGAGCTGCTGAAGTTACAGTAAAACACGACTTGGTGGTGCTCAAGCACAAAACGGTCTTGCCGAGCACACATTGATACCGAACGACGAAGAGGAAGTAAGTAGACCAAGAAGATGCATCGAGGCAAGATGAATGTAGAGCTGCTGGTCTCATTGGTGCCTGAACACAAAGGGCTTTATGACAAACGTGACGACGACTACAAAAATCTCGATAAGAGGGAGTTGATCAAAATAGGATTCGATGTGAACCGGGGTATTTTTCTTTAAGCGCCATCTAATGTCAGGGAGTGAAAATTGCTTGGGTATGAACCAAGCGGCAACCTCCCGCTCTTTCTCGTGAAGCCAACACGGAAGTGACTTAAACTGTAATTCGTCAATTGGCCGCTAGAGGCTGGCTGGAAAAGGGAGTCAGCCCATAGACTCCCCATGTTAAAATGCCCAACTTTACAGCAGAACAAAACATGTTTACAGCCTGGTACAAAAAATTATTTTGGTCTATATAGCTAATTTTGCCCCTCATGACAACTGTGAGGGAGGTGAATTTTTTTTTATAACTCATCCATTTAAATAATATTAAGCCTTAAAGTTCTGCATAATTAAGGGCGTAGCCACTTGAGTGACAGGTGGATTGCCGCTAACTGTCACCACCGTCCAGCTAGGTGGGCGTGGTTTCAGCAACTTGCTCCCGCCTCTTTGCCCATTTTCAATTATCTGGGAGTGATGCGCTGCCAAGATGGCGACGGCCGGCTCCGCCTACTTTTGAGCTTCAAAAACGCTCTTTGGAAATCTACGGGTGACGTCAACATCACTACGTCCATGTTATTATACAGTCTACCAGATCTGTGCCTCGATACAATCCTGTCTCGGCAGTCTACAGACAATTCCTTGGACTTCATGGCTTGGTTTGTGCTCTGACATGCACTGTTAACTGTGGGACCTTATATAGGGAGGTGTGTGCCTTTCCAAATCATGTCCAATCAACTGAATTTGCCACAGGTGGACTCCAATCAAGTTGTAGAAACATCTCATGGATGATCAGTGGAAACAGCATGCACCTCAGCTCAGTTTTGAGTGTCATTGAGAATTTTGAGGAAAATAATGAATTTAATCCATTTTGGAATAAGGTTGTAACAAAATGTGGAAAAAGTGAAGCGCTGTGAATACTTTCCGGATGCACTGTACATGTAGTTAATTAATATTACTCAGTGCTTAAATGTATAATTACACTGTAACGAGGACACCTTAAAATAACATGTAACCGCTATTTCCTATTACAACAAATAAAAATCTGCTTGAAGCTTCATAAACTTCAGCATTATTAATGAAGAAACAAGAATAAACACCAACCTGTTTGTTCTTCGGTATCTTCAGTGCGTTTCATTCTGCAGGGTTCTGGATCTCTCATGTTCTCTGTCCTCTTTAATAAACTCAGTCTTTGTAGATTTCAGTTCTTTATGATGCTTTTATGCTAGTCTTCACTTGTAGGCTGATATGAATATTCCAGTATTTATTGGTGAAATCACTGACTGTGTGATTGTTGTTCAGGAGCTTCACTGAACGTGAATTTCTGTGTGGAAGAAGCAGATTTGATAATTACCATATTTTTAAATTATTTATTTGGACTATTTTACACATTTAAGTATGTAAGTGAAGCAGATAATTATATATTTATATATCTCAAGAGACCATAGCCTAAAGGCTTGTGCACACCGGGACGATTATCGCATGTGACTATCGTAACGCTTCGTCGCCTCGTGACTAAACAAAGGGCGCCAATGTGAGCGCGCAAAATGCCAGGCGTAAAAGCGCCATTTTTAAAAAACGCCTCTGGCTCGTTTTTTTGGTTTAACGCGCCGTTAAAAAGATTGGTGCTTTTGTTCACGTGCCTGGAGCTGCTGAAGTTACAGTAAAACACGACTTGGTGGTGCTCAAGCACAAAACGGTCTTGCCGAGCACACATTGATACCGAACGACGAAGAGGAAGTAAGTAGACCAAGAAGATGCATCGAGGCAAGATGAATGTAGAGCTGCTGGTCTCATTGGTGTCTGAACACAAAGGGCTTTATGACAAACGTTACGACGACTACAAAAATCTCGATAAGAGGGAGTTGATCAAAATAGGATTCGATGTGAACCGGGGTATTTTTCTTTAAGCGCCATCTAATGTCAGGGAGTGAAAATTGCTTGGGTATGAACCAAGCGGCAACCTCCCGCTCTTTCTCGTGAAGCCAACACGGAAGTGACTTAAACTGTAATTCGTCAATTGGCCGCTAGAGGCTGGCTGGAAAAGGGAGTCAGCCCATAGACTCCCCATGTTAAAATGCCCAACTTTACAGCAGAACAAAACATGTTTACAGCCTGGTACAAAAAATTATTTTGGTCTATATAGCTAATTTTGCCCCTCATGACAACTGTGAGGGAGGTGAATTTTTTTTTATAACTCATCCATTTAAATAATATTAAGCCTTAAAGTTCTGCATAATTAAGGGCGTAGCCACTTGAGTGACAGGTGGATTGCCGCTAACTGTCACCACCGTCCAGCTAGGTGGGCGTGGTTTCAGCAACTTGCTCCCGCCTCTTTGCCCATTTTCAATTATCCGGGAGTGACGCGCTGCCAAGATGGCGACGGCCGGCTCCGCCTACTTTTGAGCTTCAAAAACGCTCTTTGGAAATCTACGGGTGACGTCAACGTCACTACGTCCATGTTATTATACAGTCTATGGCAGTGGTTCCCAACCCTGGTCCTGGAGGCACCCCAACACATCACATTTTGCATGTCTGTAGAACCACTGGTCTATCGTATGAACACACAAGACGCGTTGAAAAACACTGGCGATAAGCGCGAGCGATAATCGTCCCGGTGTGCACGATGCTTAACAAATACAAAGTGTTCCAACACAGTAAATCATTATATCACTATATTAAAAGAGCGTTGACACAATAGCACATCAATTAAAAAAGCTAATTCAGTAAAACAACACTCAATACAATTAAATACAACCCAGTGCTGGGTAAAATAGGGACAAACCCAGCAATTGGGTTGTTTTGACCCAGCAGTTGGGTTACTACCTAGAAGGTTGGGTTAAACATTTAACCCAGCCGCTGGGTCAAAACAACCCAATTGCTGGGTTTGTCCCTATTTTACCCAGCACTGGGTTGTATTTAACCCAGCATTTTTTAGAGTGTAGACAGATATCTTCTTATATGTTAATACGGGGGCAGAATGAAAAAAATATGGGTAGAAATGTTAACAGTAAAAAAACACAAATGCATAGAATGTGTGAATTACCGCATATGTGAGTGTTGTTTTTTGAGTGTAGAAATATAGAAAATATATAAATTCTGTTTTTTTAATGTTAACATTTCTACCCATATTTTTTTCATTCTGCCCCCGTATTAACATATAAGAAGATATCTGTCTAGCAATATCGAAAATATAATGTTACTTCTAAGTAACAGTAAGAATAAAAAAAAGTAAAGCATAAACAGATATTCGATGACATCCATCTTCATTAACAACTACAGGTAAATAAGTGAGCACCATCAGCACATAACATCTAAATATGATTTGGTTCCCTTAACAACTATATTCAGTGAAATAATTTAATGACACGGTTAACATGTTATAGTTTTACATGCAAAATCTGACAGTGATTAAAAAAGCTTCTTTAAACAGAAAGAGTACCACAAAGCAAAATATCCAGTGTCTATGAATCTGTTCATATTTATATATAGTAGCTCATTATATAGGCTCAATATTAGTAGTATCTGTTATTAATTGTAACTATGTAAAGTAACAATAACAATGATAAAGGTCAGAAAAATAACAAAATCACAGCAGCAATACAATTGGTTAGCATCCATTTCACTCACATAACGCGAAACATTCAGTAACAGCAACAGTATCACTCCAAACTTCGAAACAATCATTCTCACGAACACACAACAACACAAATCGCTCAGGTCTTTGTGAATTCAGCATGCTTTCCTCACATGCTTGTTCTAAGCTGTTAAGCGCTGTACTCGATGAAAACAATGCAGAAACGACCTCGCATATTGTTGCATAAACAAAAATGTTTACAGTGCATTTTACCATCAGGCCCTGTTTAAATACGCGAAATGCTCACCTCGCCTCAGAAGAAGACTCGATGCTGACTGACTAGTGATGACGTCATCAGCAGCAGATGCCAAACCCTGTTTAAAATGACAAAGCAACACCTCACACACAAATCAGGTATAGCCTACAAATGTGGACACATAGCAGTCTCATCCAATCTCAGTCATGCGTAGTAAAATATAATTTATTAGGCAATTAAAAGCTTTTTTTTTTAAAACAGTAAGCCCAAAAAGGAACATAACAATGCATGTATTTCAGATATAAAAGTACTTTTTCCTTATGTAAATACATTAAGTAGACAATATAAGTTGTTCAAATATAAAAAGTAAAGATAACAATGTATTGATAATAAGGTATCATTTAATTAGTCTCAAAACAAAAGCTATAGTGAAGTAAAAGTGAAAACTAATGAGATGGATGGCCAGTATTTCAGATACATGCATTTAAAATATGTATTTGAAATACAAAATAGGCCATCTATTTTATATTTTGTATTTTAAAACCTTTGGAAAAAAATCAAATGTATTTTGGGTTTAAATAGACATTAAGATCAGTATTTTTGTATTTTCATAAAACCCTTTGTGCCAGTCAACCTCTTTATCAGGGTGATGATTTCATGCATCAGATAGTTCAGACATTGATACACTGTAAAAAAAATTCCGTAAAATTTACGGTAAAAAAACGGCAGCTGTGGTTACCGGAATTTTACCGTAAAAAATACAGTAGCAATGTTTTAGGTTTTACGGTTTTAACTTAAATTTACAGTTAAATACCGTAATTTCATTAACTGATATAATGTTAATATACCAATCTATTGAAGTACTGAACTCTGTTTTGTATCTTTGTAATACACTGATAACCACCAAATGCAGGAGGTGATGAGAAAGTCACATGATGAACCAAAGCCCATCACAAGCAGCTTTTAAATAATAACATATATAGAAGCTGCACAGTGTGTCATTCACACAAACACTAAACACCATCACGGTAACACACATGAAACTGAAATAATGCAATAAACATTCATTTAACAACATTAGGTGTAACACACAACCCTAATATACAAAACTGATAAGAAAAAACTAAGAAGAAACATAATTATTTCAACAAAAAAACATCACATTTAAAATGTAACGCAGGGAATTCTGGGAATGTCAATTTACGGTTATTCACTGTAAATTATACGGTCTTTTTCACGTCCAAAAACGGTATACTACCGTAAAATTACATGTAATGTCCAATACAGTTTTTCACCGTATATAGTAGGGGAATTTACCGTTAACCATTTAACAGGTTTTTACTGTAGCATTTTTACAGTCTTTTACCGTTAAATTCACGGTCATTTTTTACAGTGTAGGTAATCTTCTCAAATGTGTTTAAAGCTCTATTGCATGTTAGGGCTGAGTGATATGACAATACCATGGTGTTGATATAAAGTGTGAATTGATTGAATGTTTTCTAAACTGTTTTCATAGATAGGTCAAGAGAGATAGTAGTTTGCTTCACTGGATATAGCTGTCGGTCATTTAACATTTATACTGAATTTCTAAAAGTTGACAAATGTTAAATGATTTGCAGCTGTCTATGGTGGTTACGGCCCTGTTTTAAATATATTTTTCATGTAGGCTATTTATGCCCATTTCTGTTGACGGAGCACTGCTGTGCGTCGTCACAAAAGCTTATTATTTGCATGTGTTTTTAAGCCTTGCCAATTTAAACATTCAAGCTCAAGAAGACGCAAAAGAACTCAACTCAAGCTAACAGATTGATAAACTCTTTCCAACACGTAGACTTGAGGGAGAATGCCACTTTATTCCACACCACATTGACTGTATACTGTATGTTGAAACAGAGTGAAACTAGAAAGGAGAAGTATAGTGTAGCTTCAGTTATCTCTAAGAATACAATAATGTCTCAATTTACTGTTATTTATCGTATATAGTTCTTTCATAAAAATTCAATTCAGCAAATTAAATACAAATTAATCATAAAAACTTACAGACAATGCTTTCTACACATGATCACAAGTTCTACCTAAATAAAGCCCCGTTCACACCAAGAACGATAACTATAACGATAACGATATTAGCGTCCACACCAGAGAACGATATCGTCTGTTTATTCTAAAGCGCACGCTCGTCTGCCGCTTTAAATTCTCGAGCTCGTTACAGCAGGATGGATTCTGATTGGCTGTCAATGTTTTATCATTCATCAGCTGGAGACAAATCGTTTTGAAAGTGATTCCAACGATATCGTTTCTCTTTGTCTTTATCGTTATAGTTGTAGTG